TTCATATTTCCTTAAATAATTATTTTGATTTGCACTTTTGTTTTCCCCCTGACTTTAAAAGCCTGAAATGCATCTTGTGTTAGAGATGCCAGGCAAAGCAATTATCTTGGTATTATATTTAAGCATCACAAAAAGCCTGTTTGGGGAGGGAGGAGGATTGACAACAGTGCTTTTATTAAATTACAAGCTGCTCCCTGCAGGATGGTTGGGAGGCTGGAAGCACTGAGCATTTCTGAGAGAGATTGCCCATTATATACAGACATCATTGGTCTGGAGATTCTATACATGCACATATGGATGTAAACAGATAATTCAGATCTTCTTGGCTCTTCTGACAGAAAAATATTGTCAGGTAAATACGGCATGATCAGCCCAAAGGTGCAGCATCAACCTCAGAGAGCCCAGGCTGCCCTCAGGTGTCTCAGCACAAACACAAGGTCACCCCAGCAGCCCCCTGTACATCATCCATCAAGAATTTTGGGGGAAAAAGAACAGGAAAAACATCCAGGTTGTGCTAAAACATCTCCCTGGTGCCCAGGAATAGGTGGGTTGCTGCCTGTCTGTGCCAGACATTGGATCTGCCTAGGGAACCTTCATTGCATAAATTTCTCAGTTCTTTTCTAAATACTTTACACTTTTGGCCACTGCAGCAGCCTGTGCCCATAAATTCTACAGTTTTATTATGTGCTCTGTGGAAAAAAACCAGAAATCTCTGTTTTCTGTCTGTATCTGCTCTTCATACAGGATGCTGGCACAGCTGCAGAGAGCAAAACAGGAGAGGTGAAATCACAGGTGAGCAAGGGACAGTGAACACCACCAGCTTTCCATCTCCTGCAGCATCAACTCTGATCAGTCCCTGAATAAAGGTCCTGTGAGGGCTCTAATGACTGAAATCTGGGGGGAAATGTGCTGCCTTCAAAGGTCAGCTCTGCCAGGTTCTCCTGTCCCAGGGCTGGGGTTTGAGCTGAGCCATCGCAGCCACGAGGGCTCCAGCCTGCTGGGCAAGCGGCTCCTCCTGCTCCTTCCTCAGCAGCAGCAGCACCCTGTCCTTGCTCTGCAGCAGGGGGAGAGCAGGGGCTGCCAGTTCTTGGCTCCTTTTTCTGCCTCTGCCTCGGGATCGAAGCTCTCCAGACGATATTTTGCATTCAGACTCAGGTGTTTATTATTTCTTATCTGTATTACGAGTCCTGAGTTCTTCTAACAAGCTACAAAATGGCTAACTATCTTCCTATGAAAGGTCCTTTAAGGCTAAACTATCCAATTAAGAAATGACACCTAAATTATTTTCATTTTTAACCCAATAACTGCTCACTCAAAGTCGCAATGTGGACTTTTGTGTGCAATTACAAAATACCACCCAAACCCGCGGAGAAGAAGGTGGAAAAGAACAACCAGCCTCCACCCTGAAACCTCCATCTTGCCCCATATATATTACTCTATTCTAAAACCCCAAACTCTAAGTTTTCTACCCTGTGATATTACACACTTCTAATCAAACTGCACGCCCATAATCCCAGTGCTATCCATCAATTTTGGAAGCTTTCTCCACAGCCTCAGGTCAAATATTTTCACTATTTTCCTGTGGGTCCGTGCCCTTCAGCACAGAAAGTTTAAAGTTCTCAGCATCCAGGATTCCAACAGAGGACTAAACCAAATCACAGGAGAAGGACAAAGCTACCCAAGGAGGGAAACCAGGAGGAGAGAGGAATGTCATCCATGCCAACAAATCAGTGAGGCATATGGAAACTGCATTTAAGGCATAAAGGGTGTGTAAGGAGCTGATATAACCAGATGGCTAAAGAGCAAGGAGGGAGCAATTCCAGAAATTGTGAGGGAAACAGAGAACAGAGAAAGAATGTAAGGATTATCAACTTCATACTGCAAAGGGCATGGAGAATTTCAAAGGAAAAATACAGCAGTAGTGATGAAATTTTTTTAGAAAGTGAAAAAACACATCAGCAAATGTGAGAACTGAGCCAGGAATTTGCCTTTCTCACCTGCTGAGAGATATCAGTGCTGAGGAGATTTCCCACAGATGTGGCACAAGGGTCCAAGGGGGCACAAACAGAGCCTGGCCAGGACAGGACAGCTCTGGGGTGAGGTGCATGTTTAAGTCCTTCAGAGCTGAGTTCCTCAGACACCAAATCAGGTATTTTTCTTTTGTGTGCATTTATTAATCAATTTCAATAGGAATATTTCTATCCATTCTCTATCTCTGACAGATATTTGTGTGATTATAGCCAGCAACAAGGTCCTGATCCAGCTACAGACACAGCTGCAGGTCCCAATAAAACAACTTTTAGAGTACCCACTCTTCGAAAAGAAAACTTGAAATTAAAGTGCATGTATTTCTTGATAAATAAATGTAGCACTTAAATCACTCAATTGCACACAGAATTTTCTCATTGCTTTGGATTTATTCACTTTCTTGTCAGCTGTCTTCAGAAAAATAACCTTTAACAGCACCATGCAAGGGCTTCACAAGGTGGGAAGGAAATGCTAATTGGTTTTATCCTTTTGTGAAACAATCCATCCAAAGTTAATTAGAATGGGTTTACTTTTTCTTCACAGAAATAATCCATAGGAAAGACTGATGGGCAGAGCCAGCTGAGTCCTGCACAAAGGTGCAGGATTTAAGTGATTCTGAGCTGTGCTCCCAGAACTCTGTAGCCTTCAGGCATCTATCTGGTCTTTCTCTGTGGATGGCATAATTAGGCTTTGAGTGAAAACCCCAGTGGTGAGGCCTGATAAGAAGTTAATCTTGTGGGCACCTCGTGGGCCCGGGGAGATGTGCCCCAAAAGCCCAATTAGCGAAGGCTCCCTGTCCTGGGCTGTGCCACAGCCTTGCTCAGAGCTGATAAAAGCTGAGGAGCAGCAGCTCAGGGCTCCAGCAGCCCCCCACACCTCCCAGGGCTGAGGAGCACCTGCACTTTGTGCCCATCTCACTTCTCCTGGTGACCTTCACACTCCCAGCACGGCATTTCAACCCCACAGATTCACTCACACATCCCTCTGGAGACAGGATTGATGCACTCAGAGCCTGCTGGCTGCAGCCACCAGCCAAGGCTTTTTGGGGACCTGTCCACAGAATCTGACCCCAGGTTTCCTGCACTCTCTGACTGAGGCCAAGCAAACAGAATTTGTGTGAAATCTGTGCCATCCCAAGTGCAGAATCCAAAAGCATTACAGCCCATGCATGAGCAAAGCATGATAAGGTTTGATAAGGTTTGATTAATGATAAGGTTTGATTAATGATAAGGTTTGATTTCCTATAATCTGTAAGAGCAAAGGAAAAAGTTCTTGGCTGTTGGAAAAGCACTGCAGATTTGGAAAAGAGACCTCTGCTTTACAAGCCAGAGGTCCTTTATTTTATGGAAGGAAAGCATTTCCCTAACAGGCAAAGGAATGCTGAGGCACAGCATCCATGGACCTTACAAATTCCCCTTTCCATCCAGGGATATTAAAGAGCAAATCCCAGTTCTGAGAGGGATGCAGGTCATGGAAAGTGCTGAAAAATTGAAGTGGTTTCTCCAGACCAAGTGACAGTAGCATGACTATGCTGGAAATTGTTTTATTAAGTAGATTTGCCAGAATTTACTGATTATCAAACCTCATTAGCCGGGGACTTGTACTCCGTGTTCTTCCCCAGTTGCTGCCTGCTGCATACACGGAGGGATGCTGGAGAGATTATTCCTAAGCCCTTCCCCCTTCCCTCTCCCCTCCTCTTCCAGGACCACATCGACAGTCCCGGGGGAAGAGAGGAGGGACGGGGAGAGGGCAGGGAAGAGAGCAGGGACGGGGAGAGGGCAGCATCCAGCAGCTCTCCCTCAGCATCCTCCACCAGCAAAGCCCAGGAGAGGAGCTGCGGCTCAGGACACCTTTGGCAGGATCCCTCAGCACAACATATGTTACAGCAACACGCACGGCTGCTTTCCCCTTCCAGGAAAGAGGAGAAGGAGGAAGAGGGAAGAGCTCCAGAGGGCTCCAGGGATTTTCCATGTAAGCAAAGGCGGACGATGCCCCCGGGAGCCGCTGCCGTGTGCGGCAGGTGAGCATCACCTGCGGGGCAGCCCCGCTCCCGCCTGCTGCCCCTGCTCCGCCGGTAAGTCACTTCAGGAAACTTTCTTTGCAGTTCGCACTTGCCTGTCTTGGGGTAAAAAAGGGGCTTTTTAATCTTTAGGGACTATAGGCAAAAGCAGGGGTTTGTCCCTGAAAGGAGGAGGGGAGTGTTAAATTCCCCGAGGTGAGAAAACGCTTTCTGCCTGCTTATAACAAAGTTTTCTCCGCGGTGGGCAAAGATTCCTCTCTAACTTCGCAGTAATTTGGCACGAGGTCGGGTGGATCAGAACAGTCGTCATTTAGACAGAATTTAAGGTATTTTTAATCCTTGCAATCCCCCCGAGAGGCAGAACGGGCGTGCAGCGAGAGCAGAGGAATCACGATCTGAGCAGTCCCGTTAAAGCAATTAGAACTTCGCATCCAGCTGATGGCAGGTAATTGCCCTGTCGCTAATAACTAATAACTCTGTCGCTAATAACTATTAAGCAGCTTAGTTGAGTCAGCCCGTGGTTAGGGGTTTACAGAAATAAGAAAGCAAAGTGACAACGACCGCAAAATAAGGATAAAATAAGGATGTAACGGTGCCCAAACCTGCTCGGAGAGGAGCCCGAGGTGTTCCCGTTCGGATTTGCAGGCTCCCGAGCCTCGGTGATAATTATGAATGAGGCTGGAGCTGTGCTCCGTGCCTGTGTTGCCAGACAACCAATGAGGCAGCAAAGCAAAGCTCATTCACGGGCTGCAGGCTTCAGGAAGAGGCACAGAGGTGACTTTTACTTACCAAACAGGCACTCATTGATTTCCTGATTGAGGAAAGTGGCTGGAGACACCTTTCCTCTGGCAGTAACCTCTGCTATGTTTTCTCCTCCTCCCTGTGTCTCCTCTGGCTGACAGATCCCCCTGCTCTGATGCTGTTCTGGATGTCCCGGTGAGAACTCTTAGAGATGCCTATTCTCTCCAGAGGCAGTGACCAAGACTATAGCAACATTAGCTACAACTCCTGCAATTCCTTGAGCCACTTGTTTCCCATCTGCGTGGAAACCCCTTCTGTCAAGGGGGTCCATTACCAGAGGGCCAGGAGGATTTACCACCCTGACCAAGTGTCTGCAGTCGATCTGAAGACAGAGATCATGATCAACGTTGGGGGCATCAAGTACCTGCTGCCTTGGAGTACTTTGGACGAGTTTCCCCTGACCAGACTGAGCAAACTGAAGCTTTGCAGCAGCTATGAGGAAATCATCCAGCTGTGCGACGATTACGACGAGGACACCCACGAGTTCTTCTTTGACAGGAACCCCAACGCTTTCGGGATGATCGTCAGCTTCCTCGCAGCAGGGAAGCTGATGCTCTTGAGAGACATGTGTGCCTTGTCTTTCCAGGAGGAGCTGAGGTACTGGGGCATTGAGGAGTCCAACCTGGAGAACTGCTGCTTTCGGAAACTCTTCCAGAAGCTGCAGGAGCTGGCCGAGATCCGCAAAGAAGAGGAGCTCCGGAGGAGCAAGGAGGCTTCGTGCGTCTTGGATGAGAAAACCAGATTTGGGCAGTTCATGAACAGACTCAGAGACATGGTGGAAAATCCCCAGTCAGGACTGCCAGGCAAAGTCTTTGCTTGTCTCTCCATCCTCTTTGTGGCCACCACAGCTGTCAGCCTTTGTGTGAGCACAATGCCAGACTTAAGAGCTGAAGAAGACAGGGTAAGTCAGTCCTTCTTAACTGCTCTAACCACAGAACTGGGATAGAAAACCCAGCTATGGCTCAAATTAGTGCTATCATTTTCAAGTGATATCATGTTAAGAATAATGGGAACAAATATTAGACTGATTTTTGGCTAGAATACAAAAAAGCTTTTGGACAGAGCAGATATTTCAGCTCTCCAGTACAGGGTGGTTTTTCCTTCTTGAGAAGCAGCTTCCAGTGTAAGATTAACTTGTTAGCACTGGCTCTCAAACTGACATGGTGGAGTTTTCAAGATGCTTCACTCTCTATTTACAGGCAATCTCTCCTTTAGACACGTCAGCTACAGAAATATTTTCCTCTGACATCTTTACTTTAAAAACAGCTGGTTATCTTCCCTTGTGATAAAACTGTCAGATGCTTAAAGAGGGAGAAATATTCATTAATTTTTATATGTTACATATCAGTAGTTGCATAAAGATTGAAGGATGAGAGGCAGATGAAGTATTTTTGCACATACTGATACATAAAAGCTGTGCCTCTAAAAAATCATAATTCCATGCTAAAAGAATTCTGTGTTTGCCCCATATATATGTACATATTGTAGGAGCAATACCAAGCACTATCTGAACTGCTAACTGCACTTAAACCCTTCTCAAAAAACTCATCCACATTAATTCAGGGCAAATAAATCGAGCCTGTATCACACATGAAGGATCTTCTCTATAACATTACTGTAAATATTTCAGTATTTAAAAGATTTATTTTTGTAATAATAGACCAGAGGATGAGCAAGAATCCAAAGTTATTTCAGATGTGGTAACGTCCAAATTCATCAAATAACCTTGACTAATCTCTGTAATGAATCCTGCACTTCATTTGCAAATTGCCCTCCCAAAAGTGCTGAGGAAATCTGTGTCAAATGAACTCCCTGCCCCAAGCCCTGCTGTAAGACAAGACACTCCTCAGAGTGTCACATACTGATGAATAAAGTCATTTTTACATTTACAGCACAGCCTGGTGTGTACAAGACAAAAATCTGTATCTATTTTACTGGTCAAAGCAGCCTTATCATGGTTATAATAAATCCTGATATTTGATGTCTTTGGATAAAACTGAGGACTACACAGGAGGCTGAAATTTAAGATAATTCCCTGTTCCTTTTTAACCCCTTGAATATTAACTTCCATTTGCTAAGGAAGGCTCCAACCTGTCAGGAATAAGCCTGGTGCTCTTGCAGCCTTCACCAGCTATTCTATTACTTTTTGGCTGAAAAAAGGAAAAACTGTTTTCACAGGAAAAGCTGTTAGCACTGTTCCAATGCTTCTTCCAAGGAAGCACTTTAAATATAGAACATCCTTCTTCCAGCTCAATGTACAAACATTACAAACTCTGCTCCAGCAAGTGCTTCCTACTAACTTTGTTAATGGAAGGGGCTTTTTATCTTCATTTCCCAACCACTGCAGGAAAAGCTTTGATAAATAAATCCCATGTAAAGGACCCAGCACATAAGCAGAGCTCTGCTGGATGTAAGGAGTTGTGTGTTTTAAAAAATAAATAAGTTAGAAAGAAAAGCATGCTGAGGGTTATAAGTGTGTCTGGGAGCTGCAGTGAAGCTGCTGTTCCTGATTTCCTATAGAACAAGGATGACATTACTACTTAGAGATTTGCATGTATATCAGCACTTTAAAAACAAGCAAACTGCATTGAAATAAGCTCAAAAGATGGATTGTTGGAAGTGAGGGGAGAGGATGAAGGATGAACTTGAGGAGAGGACCACATTTGTCCAAACGTTTGGAAACATTCCATAATTTACACTTACAACAGCAGCCTCATGCACTTTGTCATTTTGCCCCAGAATACAGAGTATTAAAAGTCCTTTTCTATGAATTATGTGATGTTCTGCCACAGGAAAAATAGGGGAATGTATGAGACAAAATACTCATGCCTTGTGGAAAAGCAGAGAATCTGAACTACTAACAAGCAGTTTTGGCATCCTTAAATGTCCATCCCTAAATTCTTAGCCTGCAACAACTAAGATTTCCTTACTGATATCTCAAAAGAGCATTTTAACTGGAGCTGGACAAATAGCTGCATGAAGTGAATTGACTAAAATTAGGATTTCTTGGCTGCAGCTGAGTCATACTTAGCAAAATCAACTCTCTGTTGATTTGTAACTCAGAACTGACCTCAGAGAGTGAGTCCAAGATGGGGCCACATTTACCAGCAACCTGAAACAAGCATGCAGGACCTGAAATTTTTGCTTTTAGGGCTGAACACAAAGATGATTCGATACCTGTTTGCTCAGTGACAGAAAACAGTCAAATTCATTCACAAAGTTTCTGAACAACCTGAAATTCCACACTTGAATTCAAAGATTATTGTGAGGTTTAATCAGTTCTGAGTTAAAGCTTGGCAAAAGCTAAATGTCCTTAAAATTACTGCAAGGATCCATTTTCCAATGTCACCAATGCTGGAAATTGAATTTATCCATATTACCCATTCAGAAAAACAGAAAAAAAAGGCTTTACCTCTGCTGCATATTTACCACTCTAGGGTCCTGTTCCTCCTCACCACAGCCACATTAAGAGAGTGAAAACTGGCTGGAGTCCAGCTCAAGATGGATCAGAGGAAAAAAAAAAAGGGAAAATAATGCAAGGTGACTTCCACTTGACTCACTTGGCTCAGAGGCTGCTGATCCCACCCTGCAGGCACAGCAGATCCCTGGTCCTGTGAGCAGCTGCTGAGCCAGGTCTGCCCAGGAGGGAGGAAAGAGCAGGCACAAGAGCAGCCAGGAGTCCTCAGCGAGCTCAGGAAAGTGAGAACTCGGCTCTGTCTCTGAGAGAGGGATGGCAGGGAGCCAGGAGAGAGCATCTGCATCAGGGAAACCCTGTCACCCTGGCAACCAGAGGGGAGGGAAGGAGCAGCCCAGGGGCAGCAGAGGGGATGATGGCAGGGGGAGCCTGGAGTCGAGGATGCAGCTGGCAGAGAAATAAAGGAGGAGTTGTTATCACTGATACACTCCAGAATGTGCCAAATGCCATTTAGGGACCTCCTTGTGAAAAAAACCACCCAGATTTGGGCAAACATTTATATTGTATATGGACATGATGTGAATCTCAACCCAGAGAGAACAGTCCCAGCTGAAGGGTGAGCAAAAAGTTCAGTAAAAATGTGGAGTAGCAAAGGAACAGCTCTGGTGAGCTCAAGTTTGAGTCTGACCATGAAATGAATATACAAAAGGTTTTATTATTAGTGAGGCTAAGGAGAGAGGAGCCATCAGTAACAAGGTTATGTTAGTTAGGAATAAAACAACAGAATGATCACATTTTCCAGTGGAAATATATCCTTGTCCATGATATTTGCATCAGTTCTTTATGGAGCTATTTTTACCAAACAGTTTTTACCAAACTGTCTTTGGTAAAAAACAGATTTAATATCATCAATGTGCATTATTCAAGGCATGTAGAGATAAGGAAAAAAGGCATATTTAGAGGTGAGAAAATCTGTTATTGATCTGAACAGGAAGCCTGAGAGAACTGCAAAACTGAACAGGAGACCAAGCATAGGAAAGCTGAAGTGACAAAATTCAGCAGTGTTACTCTCAAATGAAGAAATCCAGATCATCCCACTACAGACAGGACAGAAGTCCCATCAAAGCCCCCCAAAAGTCCCAGTCCCACATAAGAGTTACAGTCTAAGAGGGGTCACTGAAACAGCCACTGCTCAGCACATCCAACCCAAAGGAAAAAAACAACATCATTACACCAGAAAAGTCTGGGATAAAACCACTGCAGAGGGGCCTGGAGAGGGAGATCACTTTGAAGTACTCTGGGGACTTTCCTTGGGATGAGATATTTCATTTAATGAGTCCCTAAAGTTGGCATCCTCTGGAGAAATGACTCAGCAGAAAGGCTACAGCAAGGTCTGTCCTCCAGGAAGGCAGCAAATTAAGGTCAGGGGGGAAGAAAACCCCCAGATATTTCCATTCCCTGACCTTGTTACTACTAATTCTTGTGTTTGCTCTTACCTGACCTTGAGAAGCTTGGAATTGCTTTAGGTGTTTTATAGGACCTAATGAAACAAAATCATCATAAACTGCAACCACTGTTGTTGCATGTGAAGGTTTTATCCTGAAACACAGAATACTCATTTTTTTAAAGCTTCTTTTCCTGGGATCATTTGATTATGTGAAAATCGAGTTCCTTTTAAAGGAGTAAGTTTCTGGTCTCTAGTTGCACTTAGAAGCCAGAAAACAGAACAGATGAGGAGAACCCAGTACTTAACAAATAGAGCCACTTTTAAATTATTTTTTATATTCTACACCATTATTCTGGAGGCCCTGATTAGTTTTTTAATGCTTGATGTTGCTGAAGTTCTCTGTATGATGCTAAAGGATGTTTGGCTTGCACACTGGGGGAAACTGCCAAGAAACAGGTTTTCTTTAAAACTGGAATAATTTTACTTTATGGGGGAAAAACCCAATTTATTTGCCTTACTGTGAAGAGAAAGAAAATGTAATGCTCATTTAAAGTGTAATACTATAAAGGCATATGTGTACATGCCTATCTATAAATATACTGCTATATACATATGACTTGAAATTACTTGAAAATAAAGCTGGATGTGCTTTGGCTTTATTGCATCTGCTCAAGCACTTTATTCTGGGTTCTTATCAGGTCACTTTCTGCAGACAATCCCTCTCTGAAATTGTCCAAGCATCCAGTGCAATTCTGATTTTTTTCTGACCATTTTGATTAGCAAGGGAAGTAGGAAAATGTGCTTCACTGGAGCCCCCAAACCCTCCTGGTCTGGGTGTGCTCAGCACAGTGAAACTCAGTATTTATGTGCTTCATGGAGTGAATTAGTTAAATTAATAATGATTGAAGAGGTTAAATAAGAAAGCATTAAAACCAGAAATCAGAATATTCAAGCATGGGACTTTGATATATGTTTATGAATTATTGCTTTATGATACATATTTATGAATTATTGCTTTATGATATATATTTATGAATTA